TGTCCCAAACAGAAAAATAATGGCTATCAGAAGTATGTTTTGTTTTAGTGTGAGTTACCGTTACTGTATTTGTTTATTGTAAAGGTGGACATTTAGCGTTCAGTGCAGTTTTCAATAAAAAGTAATTAAAATTTCAAAAAAAAAAAGAAAAATTTGAAAATTCAGATGAAATGGAAAAAATTTCTGTAACTAACAAAATTGGCACTAGAAGAAAATGGAAAAGTTGAAATAGACTTGTACCTACTGAAGGAATTAAATCTACGAATTAAAAACAAAGTCCCAGAAAAATACCATAAAGGAAACTCGAGGCCCGGGTAGTTTCTCCTTTAAATCAATCACATATATAAGGAAAAAATGAAATGAAATAGCTGCATATTTCATTTAAAATTTCTTGCCACTGCTGTGTTAAGGTTTCGTGGCTCAGAGATCCCTGGCATGATATCCCAGGGTACTTGAAGGAAGCAGAGACTCACTCACTCAGCAACCGTTGCTGAACCTGCCGTGCCCAGCACTGGGCCTGCGGTGGTGAAACAGGACATGCACCATCCCTGCCTGTGAAAAGACTCTAGTTCATGTGGGAGATGGTCACATCACTATCCACTTGACAGCTCACTGAGATGGAAGGGGACATAGGTAGCAACATTTGGATAAGAAGGAAGAGTGGGTGGATTTGACTGGGCAAGGCTCCAGTCCCACACTGTGGGGTTCTTTCCGTCATGGTTCAGCCTGGCAAGTGGGGCCACTCTGAGTATCCCTGGCAGGAATCAGGCCTCGCTCATCTATGGGAGGAGCTGGGAAAGTGAAAGCCCGAAGAGGGGCCAGGGAGTCAGAGGTGGAAACACGAACCAGCTGTCCTGCAGCACTGGCACTGTGGTCAGAGGAGGCTGAGAAGCAAATCCAAGTGTCCAAGTTGCTATGTGAAGCTGCTGCACTAGTGGTCAGCAGGGCCAGCGTTTAGGACGAGCTAAATGGGGAGCCGAGGACCATGCATGAGCAGGAACTCGCCAGGGACCCTGGTTCCAGCCATCCCTGCATCTAACACAATAACCTCCCCAGAGCAACGGCTACTGCTTCCCTCCACCCTCCCAATCTCAAGCAAGAGACTAACCCAGAGCCATCCAGGGAAGACAGTTCCCAGCTTACCTACCAGGTGCACAGTTCAGCACCCGGGATGTGAGGACCCGTCTCTTGGATACTTATGAAATGGAACTTGAGGTGTGAGAAGGACCAAACCTCTACTTGGTTCACCGGCTGTATCAGGAGTTGGCTTAGCCTGTGTCCCAAGCATAGCACAAACCTGTGTGTTACGCGCCATTCCTCGGTGCTGCTCACAAAGCCCTCCCGCTGCTCTGTCTTCCCCCTTGACCACAAAAGTAAAGTGTGCTGTTCTCTAATACTGCAAAAACAAGGCACCAGCAGATTTTAAGCTGATAAAAACCTGGTAAGCTGTCATTGTATAAGTCTTTTAGGATGGATTGAAATAACATATCCCAGGGTATTTCACTCATAAAACAAGAGTGAAATAGTTCTGAGAACCGTGAAATTGTCGTCCTCTTTCTAAATGACTTAATCCAACAGACAGGTGGTTTTTAATCACGGATCTCCTTCATGTGAACACCAACATCTTTTTTTTTCTTTTTTTTTTTTTGAGACAGAGTCTTGCTCTGTCTCCCAGGCTGGAGTGCAGTGGTGCAATCTCGGCTCACTGCAACCTCCGCCTCCTGGGCTCAAGCGATTCTCCTGCTTCAGCCTCCCGAGTAGCCGGGATTACAGGTGCCTACCATGGCGCCCAGCTAATTTTTGTATTTTTTAGTAGAGATAGGGTTTCGCCATGTTGGTCAGGCTGGTCTTGAACTCCTGACCTCAGGTGATCCACTGACCTTGGCCTTCCAAAGTGCCAGAATTATAGGCATGAGCCACCACGTCCTGCCAGCATCTTTTCACTTTAATCATGTAAGGAGAGCTGCCACTTACAGGCCCCACACTGTTCCTTCAGACATCATTTTCCCCAATGACTGGTATGAAAAGTTGACTTGAGACCCACACGTGTAAGTGGCAGGACTCAGACAGGAACCCAGGTAGGAAATTCAGAGGGATCTAAAATAAAGGGGACAGTTGGAGGCTGAAAAATACCCAAACACAAGAAGACTGAGGCGCTCTGGGATGGGCAGCAGTATTGTGTTGCAGGACATGAGGAAGATTAGGGCTCAGCAGGTGTCATCGTGGCTGGGCGTCCTCCAGGCTGTCTCCTGGGATATTTGGGCCATTGTAGGTCGGGGTTTCTTTCCTGCCTCCCTCCCTTCTTCCATTGCTCTTCCCTTCTCCTTCTCCCTTTTTATGTTTTCCTTTTCTTCTCCCAGATTTTCTTTCTTGTGTCTGTGTGATCTCCCCTCCTTCACTTTCTTTCTTTGTAATAGAATGTCCCATCTGTTCAGCCAGCTGTTGATCCTAGCCTTTGAGCTTTGAGCAATTTCTTTTTTTTTTTGAGACCGAGTCTCGCTCTGTCACTGCGCAGGCTAGAGTGCAGTGATGCAATCTCGGCTCTCTGCAACCTCTGCTTTCCCGGGTTCAAGTGATTCTCCTGCCTCAGCCTCCTGCGTAACTGGGATTACAGGCATGTGCCACCACGCCTGGCTAATTTTTGTATTTTTAGTAGAGAGGAGGTTTCACCATGTTGGCCAGGCTGGTCTCGAACTCCTGACCTCAGGTGATCTGCCCGTCTCCACCACGCCCAGCCCCTTTGAGCAAATCTTAGCACATCCGGAGAGGCTGTTCAGACAAACCTAAACATGGTCCATGGTTTACAGGAGTTTCTCCTGCACATGCAGTCTTGTTATGGGAAGCGGCTTCCCCTCATCACACAAACTGTGCAGCCTGTAGCATCACCTCTGCTCCTGAACCAAACATGGAGTCCACACCCTAACTCTGAGACTGCCTGTAAGGATTGTTAAGACATAGCGGTAATAGAGACACCCAACTGGGTGAGCCTGTTCCTCTCCCTCACCCAAACCCCATATTCCTCTTGGGGGGTTGTTTTGGGGACCACTCCTGGTACCTGTCTGACCTCAGGATGCAGGCCCTGGAGTCCTCTGTGCCCTGTACACCCAGTGGGGTGTACAGCAGACAGTGTGATCAAGACCTGCCTCTAGGAAGGAAGAACAGAGAAGGAGAAGAGCTATTTAAGGAAGCAGTTCAGCAGTTGTCTTCTGTGTACAAAAAAGTCAGGGAGAGGCCACACCTGGGAACCAGGATGAAATTCAGAAGCTTCATAAACCTTCCACACTGTTCTCTGGTACCAACCTCTGTAGCCGCCAAAGCCCATGAGAAGGACCAAACCTGTAATCTCCTGAAGCAGGAGTGGGGCTTTGGAGCAAGTTTTTGTTATCCCCCCATCCACCTTCTTCCCACCTCGGCCAGTGATCTCAGCAGGATGCTGAAACCAAGGCTGGCACGGGCCTGGCTGTCAGCCCGCCTTTCTGGGGTCATTTCTGCCTCCCTTGCTGCTGGCCTGCCCTACATCAGGGCCCCCACCTTCCTCGGCTTTCAGTGCATCTGGGGTTGATGGTTTTCTGTCTCTCTCTCTCTCCAGGGCCAGGTGTGGATTAATGGCTTTAACCTTGGTCGCTATTGGCCAGCCCGGGGCCCTCAGTTGACCTTGTTTGTGCCCCAGCACATCCTGTTGACCTCGGCCCCAAACACCATCACCGTGCTGGAACTGGAGCGGGCACCCTGCAGCAGTGAGGATCCAGAACGATGCGCTGTGGAATTCGTGGACAGGCCAGTTATTGGCTCATCTCTGACCTATGATCGTACCCCCAAACCTGTTTGATAAAGACTCATGCCCCCACCCCCAAAAGAAAGATTCATGGCTGGGCCATGTATGGTGATAAAAGCCTGTGACTTTGAGGGATTCTGCCTTGAACATATCCTACTCACAGATCCTCCCTGTCATGCCACATTTCACTGATTGGAATGTGGAATTGTAAAGGAATTAGGGTGTGCATTTTCACCTGAGGCTCCCCTGCACCCCTGCAGTGCCTAAGCCCCACCCTCAGGGACCACCTGGGACGTGGGAGGGGCTGACAGCTCCGTAATGCGCATATGTATCTGCAGAGATGGATGGAAGCTTGAAAGGTGGTACTGATTTTTATTTTGGAAGAATCATGTTGCCTTTTTGTTAAATAAAATTTGTTCTCAAATGATGATGTCACTGTTTTTAATGTGCAGGTATTGTATGGTCTGACTTAAATCATAACTAGACTTGAGTGGGCTGAATAAACCACTAACTTGGAGTTCAAAAGGATGGAAAATAGTCTTGGTTTGATCTGTGGACTGCTGCCTTTCTGATCATTATTTGACTTGCTTTTGGTCTAGGTAGCCTATAAATGCAGCTCAAAACAGTTATGCAAACAACCTAAGAGATGAACAGTTGCACAGTGTACGTAGTATGGCGTATCTGCATAGAAGCATAGTGCTTCAGCCACTAAAATGGTCATGGAGATCTATACTTAAATGCAAATTGTTTTGATACGTGAAAAAACAGATTACTTTAAATTTGATCCCATTTTGTGTTTTTCAGCATAAGAACTTCAGGCATTCACACAGTAAAGGCCTCTCCACAGTAGACAGGCATGCGCGTGTCTTATGCTATGTATGCACACAGATATGATACATGGTATATCTGGTATTTCTGTCCTGACGTGGAACAGTAGCTCTCATCTGCTGAGGACTTACTTGTTCTACACCATGCACAGTTCCGAGTGTAGGTTTAACTCACCTGCCCCTCAAAAGACTCAGGACTATACTGGCATCTTGCCGGTTTGCCAGATCTCTCAGATGTATGTGGCAAGGCAGGGTTTGATCCCAGGTAGTCTGGCTCTAGTGTCTGGGTAAACATTGCATACAGAGAATATTAATATATGCTTGTGTTGCACAAGAAAGGTTTGGAATAACTTTAAAATGTTCATAAAATTCTATCTGGATGGTAAGTATTTGAGAGATTGCTTGCTTTTTCTTTTTTTTTTTTTTTTGGAGACAAGAGTCTCACTCTGTTGTCCAGGCTGGAGTGCTGTGGCTCAGTCTTGGCTCACTGCAACTTCCGCCTCCCGAGTTCAAGAAATTCTCCTGCCTCAGCCTTCCATGTATCTGGGATTACAGGCGCCCTCCACCATGCCAGGCTAATTTTTGTATTTTTAGTAGAGACGGGGTTCCACCATGTTGACCAGGCTGGTCTTGAACTCCTGATCTCATGATCCACCTGCCTCGACCTCCCAAAGCGCTGGGATTACAGACGTGAACCCCCGCACCCAGCCTGCTTGCTTTTTTCTTAACTGTATTTTTAATTATATGCTGAGAATATGTAATTTTTTTTTTCGAGGCTGGGTCTTGCTCTGTTGCCCAGGCTAAAGTGCATGGCATGATCGTAGCTCACTGCAGCCTTTAATTCCTGTTTTCAAGTGATCCTCCTGCCTTGACCTCCCAAAGTGCTGGGATTATAGTAAAGAACCACTACACCCAGTCCTGTAATTTTTCTTTAAGGAAGGAGAAAGGAAAGGTTTTTTTTAATGTCAATCTGTAACGTTTTCTTGGTGGTATATTTTTCCCTCTCTCGTAGACACAAAGATTAAATATTTGAGATTGAATGATGAGTCTAAACTCTGTTTGAGCCAGCTGCAGCCGGCATAGATGGGCCGCCTGCATCGTGTTTCACAAACACTGGAACTTAGTTGAGAACCTTTTTCCATAGTACCTTTTTCTTTTTTTTTTTTTTTTTTGCCAATCAGTTTGAGCTTATGAGGTTGCTCAGGTTAGCCTTGAACTGATGACCTCACCTTCGCAAGCGCCATGACCTCCAGCGGGAGCCACTTTGGACCCCCATAGTACCTTTTTCTCAATGTTCTGCACCATTTCTTCGGGCAGACCACAGGGTGAAGCAGGTGCTGCATGGACCTACAGCCTCATTTCATTCCTCCTCCACAGTTACCAAAAACAGCAGATGATGCTCAAGAACCGTGGCCAAACAGTGGTAAGCTTTGGAAAGAAATGTGACACGACTCCTTTAAAACATATGTACATTGGCAAATTGCAGTTCTCCTGCCCTAGAGACAAGCAGAGAATCTCCAGGAGGCATGGGCAGTGGGGTGCGGTCGCCTCAGCAGCAGGTACGCTTTCCTTATATGTCACTCATTCGGTCTTCAGGACTGCACTGTAAGGTAAGTAGCAGTAAGTCCATTTACAGTTGAAAACATTTAAGACTTTGATAAGAGGCAGAGTTGATTTCAAACCTGGCCTGCCTCCCTCCAAAGCCAGAGTGTTTTGTCTTATCAGTGTGAGGGAATTTGAGTGGGTTTTCCCACCTGTAGCACTGTGCCTCCCGTTACCCAGGAAGTTTTTGAAAAACAGATTTTTTTTTTTTTTGAGACAGGGTCTGGCTCTGCCACCCAGGCTGGAGTGCAGTGGTGTGATCTCGGCTCACTGCAACCTCTGCCTGCCAGGCTCAAGCGATTCTCCTGCCTCAGCCTCCTGAGTAGCTGGGACTACAGACATGCATCACCATGCCAGCTAATTTTTGTATTTTTAGTAGAGACGGGGTTTCACTATGTTGGCCAGGCTGGTCTCAAACTCTTGACCTTAGGTGATCTGCCCACGTCAGCCTCCCAAAGTGCTGGGATTACAGGTGTGAGTCACTGCGCCCGGCCGGAAAACAAAATCTTAATACGTAGATGGTACCACCTGGACTCTGGACTCTGCTCAACCCATCCAACTCTGTGCTGCCTCTCATGGGCACACATTTTGCTGCCACAGTGTTCTTCCTAAAATAAGATGTGCCTTCAGCCATTCCTGATTTCTGTGAATAACCTTATTTCAGATCTGTCTGTCCATGAATTGATTTAAAATTGAACTCTATGGATGCTACCTTTGGAAAATAATAAGGGTAGCACCTTTATTACCTACTATCTAAACCTTTTATATTACATTTATCTTTCAGCCACCGTGCCCAGCCTCACAGTGTATGTATAGTCTGTGTCTGATCCGTGTCATCTCGCATACCGTGAGGTTTGGCCCTGTGGGAGCACATTCAGGAATGTGTTGCTCTGTGTTGCTGAGTCGCATTCCATCGTATGGATGTACTACACCTTGTTTATCCATTTGCCAGCTCATGGGCATGAATTGTTTCCAGTTTTGACTATTATAAAGAATGCTGATAGGAACATCCATATAGAGTTCTTTGTGTAGTCATCCGTTTTCATTTCATTTCCCTTGGATAGTTACCCATGAGTGGAACTGTTTAGTCATATAGTGATTTATACTTAACCGTTTAAGGAACTGTCAAACAATTTCTGAACATCTTTTTTGAAGCTAGTGAGTAATGAAGAAGAGGCAGAATTACACTTAGACCTGTAATTTCAGCACTTGGGGAGGCTGAGGTGGGTGGACTGCTTGAACTCAGGAGTTCCAGACTAGGCTGGGCAAAATTGGAAGACCTCATCTCTACAAAAAACACAGAAACCAGGCTGGGCGGTGGCTCACATCTGTAATCCCAGCACTTTGGGAGGCCAAGGTGGGTGACTCACATGAGGTCAGGAGTTTGAGACTAGCCTGGCCAACATGGTGAAACCCTGTCTCTACTAAAAAATAAAAAAATTAGCCAGGCATGGTGGCAGGTACCGGTAATCCCAGCTACTTAGAAGGCTGAGGCAGGAGAATCCCTTGAATGTAGGAGGCGGAAGTTCAGTGAGCCGAGATTGCACCACTGCACACCAGCATGGGCAACAAGAGCAAGACTCCATCTCAAAAAAAAGAAAATAGGCCAGGCGCGGTGGCTCACGCCTATAATGCCAGCACTTAGGGAGGCTGAGGCGGTGGATTACGAGGTCAAGAGATCGAGACCATCCTGGTCAACAAGATGAAACCCTGTCTCTACTAAAAATACAAAAATTAGCTGGGCATGGTGGTGCGCGCCTGTAGTCCCAGCTACTCGGGAGGCTGAGGCAGGAGAATTGCTTGAACCCAGGAGGCGGAGGTTGCGGTGAGCCGAGATCGTGCCATTGCACTCCAGTCTGGGTAACAACAGCGAAACTCCATCTCAAAAAAAAGACAAAAATTAGCTGGATGTGGTAGTGCATGCCTGTAGTTCTAGCTACTCAAGAGACTGAGGTAGGAAGATCACTTGAGCCTGGGAGGCAGAGGTTGCAGTGAGCCGAAATTGTACCACTTGCACTCCAGGCTGGGTGGCAGAGCCAGACCCTGTCTCAAAAAAAAAAAAAGAATGACACTTAGAATTACCAGACGTATCATCCCTCCTGTCCACTCTCTCTTTTCACTCCTCCACCTTGGACTGCTTAATGTCCTTCTTTATCCGTCATTGAGTCTGTTTATCTTTGTTTCTCAGTAAATCCAGTTTATTCAGAATGAAATTGTTTAGCACTAATCCGAGGGGTTTTTTTCATTGTTTCCCCAACAAGAAATGTGTCTTCTGTCAAATGACACAAATAGGAAATGATCTTGTGTGGTCTTTGTTTCTCTCCTTTATGAAAAAGAAGTCATTTTTGAAATCACCTTTTTAGTCAGTTGCGGGATTCTGACTGGTCTGTGGTGGCACACACATCCAGCATAGCCCATCAGCACATGGGCTGCAGGAAAGTCACACCGATGTCCAGACAGTGGGGCCAGGTGGTTTCTGGGTTTTGGCCCCTGCCATTGGTCTGACTGAGCAAGACTTCCCCTGGTGTCCCTTGCCCTTCAGCCCACTGGCCCTGACCTTTGTTAGAACTGGATGCCCAGCAGCTTTCTGGTTGTCTGTAAATGCCCATGAAGATTCTGAACTGATTCCTCACCAGACAGTTGTTCTACTTACACCCCAAGGGGCTTTCCCACATGTGAGCAAGCCTCCCACCAGCTTCAGTCCTCCATTCTCCCAAACCAGCAGTATCATCTCCTAAGATACAACAGGACAGGCTTTGGGGACAGAACCCCAGGGCCATGTTCCTGCTCCATCACTTTCCATCAGTATGGCCTTGGGCAAGGGAATCGTGTAAGTCCAAACTTCTTCTTCTCCTAAATGTGGTGTCCACCTTCTGAGGTTTTAAAATTAAATGAGGTCATCATAAAAGTACCTTGTATAGCATTTGCCATGTAGCAACTGCTTACTAAATGCTAATTTGAGTCTTTTTCTATCATATTCTGCCACAGAAGCAGGTAACTGATCATCTGGAAACCTGGGGGGCAAGAGGGAAGAAATGACACCTAGGATGCTCCATCCTTTCCCTGCATCCCTTTGTGTTCAGTTCAACAATTTGTTTCTCCTCCTGACCAGCCACTGTGCTTGGCTGAGGACACAAAGATGAAGGAGACAGTCCAGTATAAAACATGACACAGACCAGACCCAAAGGGGAGGATAAGGTGAAGGAGCATCATTCACCAAGCCTCTCCAACCTTAACCAGAGACTGCTGGCGGGCAGCGTGAGCCTTCAGGAAAGACTCGAGATCCAGGATTTAGACCTCAAGGCCCCAGTGTGGACTTCAGTGCTCCACTTCCTTAAAGATTCTGTTCGCTTGTTCTCAAAACGTAAGCAGCTTTCCAGTGCCAACATACTGACTTCCTTGCCCAAAGGGCATTTCTCATCATGTGCTACAGTGTGTGCTCTTGTCTATTGCTGCATAATAAGCCAATAAGTCTGTTTGTAAGTGGCATAAGCAATTATTTTGTCATGCACGTGATTCTATGAATCAGGAATTTGGACAGCCCAGCAAGGATGGCTTGTTCCGTGACACCGGGGCTTCTGCTGGGTACCAGAACCATCTGGCAATTCCTTCACTCGCCTGGTGTTTGGGCCAGGATGACTTGAATTTAAGGTCACTAAGGTCACTTAGGACAGTCAACAGAGCATCTGCAAGTGGTCTTTTCATGTGACTTGGGCTTCTTATAACACAGTAGGTGGGTTCTGACGGCGTGTTCCAGAAGGGACCTTCCAGAGAGTGAACACTGTAACAGAAGCAGGCGGAAGCTGTATAGCCCTTTAAGACCTAGATGCAGAAGTCACATAGTATCGGACCACTGTACTCTACTGGTCAAAGCAGTCATAACCCAGATTCAAGGTGAGGAAACACAGATCCCCATCCCTTGATGGGGAGACATGACAAAGAATTTGCGGCCATTTAAAAAAAATCATCACATGTGCACTCAGTGCTGTGTGGCAGCACACTCCAATTTGTGTATTTCTGTCCATTTCACTAAAGGTCTGAAAGCCCAGCGAGCATGAATTGAGGTCCAAGGCCCCACTGATAAGGAACAGGAGGCTATTGGCTAAATGGTTCATTTAGCCTGTGTTTAGTGAATTGAATTCCTTTGTCTCTTTTGCAAATTGCTGGGCCCCTGGTAGTGTCACCAGATATTAACTTAAGGGGAATTAACTGGACACAGGCAGGAAATCCATGGTGTGAACCCCCCACCAGAGTCTATGGAGGTATAAGGTGATGGGCACTGCACACAAAGCTCAGTGAGGTTTATTTCTTCTCTTTGGGTGAAATCTTGATTTGATTTCTGATCAAGAGATGCAGTCTGTCCAATTTACTTCTACTTTCTTTAATTTTTACTAAGCAATGGGATCTTTTTACCAGAATGCTTTGGCGTCGTGGACCACCTGACCTCTTTTCTGGGGTCTTTGAAATCAGGAAGTGTCCCAAGAAGTGCCCATTGAGGAGTCCCCAGGGTTTCAGGTCATATCCCTTCTAGTGTGATGGGTGAGCCCCTCAGCATTTAACTATTTTAGTAGGTTGGTTTTTTTCATTTACCCAATAGAAATTCAATACTTACTCTAAACCCCATGCGACTGTGTAGGACACATTTCCTGACCCTCAGGGAGCACACAGATCTATTAATGAACAATACAGTATTGTGAGGGGTAGACAGTGACAGGGATGAGCTCAGAGTGCTGTGAGGGCTGGATCCAGTCTCAGACTTGATGTGGAGCAGAGGCTGGTCAGGGTGGGCTTCCTGGAGTTAAGCCAAATGAAGAATGAGAGGAGGAGAAAAGATAGGCATGGAGAGCAGAGAGTGCTTCTCAAAGGAAAGTAGCATCTGCAAAGATCCAGGGTCTGCAGAGACAATAGAGAATTCCAGAAATCGGTGACATGTACCTCAATCTGTCTGGAGTTGGAATGGACGGAGAGGAGGCAGGAGAGACGCAGGGATCAGAGCTCTCTCCAACCAGATTGTAGTATCCTGAAAAATTGGTTATTTTCACACATCTTTTGTCCTCTGAGGTTTCTAGGTTCATGTCTTCAACTTTGATGGTGCTTAATAAGGATAATAACATTCATAAGTGGTTTTAATGTGCTATTTTGTACACAGTGCCTCATTTAGTCTTTATAAGGACCTTTTGAAGAAATAGGGCAGGTGGCATGCAGCTCAATTTACAGTTTAGGAAAATCAAGAGGTAGGGAGAATTGTGATTTACACAGAATCAGGGGCCTGAAACTCAGACACAAGTTGCTTGCCTCCAAATCCCACACGCTTCTCACTATGCAGATTGCCTGATCAAGCTTAAGGAGAAAGTTTTGTATGATACTTGAGAAAACTCACAACACAGAAGAACAATATTTCAGCCTTGCCTGGCATGACAGTCAGCTCAGGTCTGAGCTGTGGCCCCAGGTTTCGGTGACTGACCCATGAGTCTTCTGTGTGTCTCTGGAGAGCAGAATGCCCGGTATATGTGGGTCCCCAGTGGACACAGGTCAGGGAGCAAGCAATCCTCCATCCACACTGGAAGATGGAGTGTTCACAAGGCTGGGCATCCCTCTCAGACAACCCACTATCATATCTCTTCTGGTTTAATTCATGCTTTGACACTCAGCAAATTCCCCAGAAACTTAGCTGAAGAGTTTTTGTGAGCGGGAAGTACCTTCAAAAGAAGTGAGAAGAGAGAGGGTACATGGAACTGTATTAATAGTTGAGCAGGCAAATGACGACTCTCGGTTTTTCTCTGGAAGGGAGCTCGTCCTTGAGGTGAAATGGGGGCTGAGGAGGCATGAGAGACGGCAGAGAAGCACTACAGACTGACATCAATTTGAGGCCCTCTGATGCTAAGAATATCACAACTTCCCTGCTGGGCAACTAGGTTCATCTGTCCACTGACTGCCATGATTGGCACCATTTGCAAAGTCCAAAGAACAAATATGGTAAAGTACTCAAGAAAGTCACTGAAGAGTTTATTTGTAGTGGACCAGAGGTCATTGCGCTGCTGCTGCCAGCACCCCACCCCCACCCCAGTGATCTTCATAAGTCTTTCATGGTTTTGTACTCTAAAATTGTGATTACCTGGAACCAAAGCTTACCAAAGCTTTCACTAGATGGGATTTTTGCAATACTAAGTATCTACAAGGAAAACGAGCTGTTAGGTAGAGGACTAGTTTTATCTAGCTTTCTATTAAAAGCTCTGTGATTGCCTGATAGGCTGATTACAGGGAGGTATTGTTGAAATAAATACATACTCCAGATCCTGTCCTGAAGTCACTGCAGATTCATCTCAGTCTCATTGCAAACTCCACAAAAGCCAACCTGGAAAAGAGGGAATTCTGATTGTTCAGGAGATAGAAGTCGAGGATAGAGAGGAGACTGAGATAACCATCTGGTTTTCTTTCCACTCTGGGCACCAGAATTTTGCCTCTTAATAGCCAGGAAGGATCCACCCATCTCAAGAATTCAAATAGAGCAATGCTTTTGAGAGCAGCCAACTCTTCACTCTGATATAAAACCTCAGTGCCCATGTTACTTGAATGGTAACATGTAGTGTGAATACCACAAAGCAGATGTGAACTGAACTGCCAGTCCCTCCTCACTGAGCAGGACACTTCAACATCACATTGGTTCCAACTGCTCCTCTTTCTCTTAGTGACCAACTTTGCCATTTTCTGCTACCATATCTTTATACACTGAAATTTCCCCTTCTTCATTTCAGCAAGCCTATCACTTAAGTCCTTGGTCTTTGCACCTTAAAAGTCTCTCAGATCCATTTTTTTCTTTTTTGATATGGAGTCTTTCTCTGTCACCCAGGCTGGAGTGCAGTAGTGTGATCTCAGCTCAATGCAACCTCCGCCTCCTGGGTTCAAGTGATTCTCCTGCCTCAGTCTCCCAAGTAACTGGGACTACAGGCACATGCCACCATGCTCGGCTCATTTTTTTGTATTTTTAGCAGAGACAGGATTTCACCATGTTGGCCAGGCTGGTCTTGAATTCCTGACCTCAAATGATCTGCCAGCTTCAGCCTCCGAAAGTGCTGGGATTACAGGCATGAGCCACCATGCCCGGCCTTTAAGATCCATTCCTTATGGAAATATTAAGCTCCAATATTCTCTACAAAAATACTTGTAGCCTGCATCCCTTTGTTAAATTCAGGACAACTTTCATTCATTCACTCAACTATTAGTGAGTACCTATACATGCTAGGCATTGAGAATAAAATGATAAGCACTTTATCACCCCATCTCTGTCTCTTTTTTAAGGACTATTGAGATACTATCAATAGCAATAATAATAAAAGCATGACCCATGCCTTCAAAAGGTTTAGTGAGTAGCAGAGGTAGAGTTCAATACAGTCTCATGGGCACCACAGAGAGAGACAGTACAGAGTGGAAGAGCAGCACAAGAATTGTGAACAAGGGTTCACAATCCCGGCCTGGGCAGCCAGGCATTCTGACTTACTGCAGAGCCAGACAGGGCTTCAGGTGCACGTGGTTTATGGAGGGAATGCTCTAAGGAGAAAGGCAGTGAGGGAAGGGGACAGGACAAGAGAATAAAGGTAAGCAAGGAGACTACTTTCAGCTTAAACCAAGTGTTTAGTTCATGATTCTGCTGTGTGGTTCTTTAGTCTGGAACAGGCTACACTGATGTTGGCTTGGCTCCCTCACGTATCTGGGGGGGGGGGGGGGTCAGATCAAGCTGCTAATTCCAGAGAAATTCACACGCATTAATTTCACCACAAAGTTGGACTCACCTTGAGTCAAGGGGGCCAGTCTTTTAACCTTCCATCCATGTCAGCCAGCCATTGGCTGCAGGCTGCCACAGGTGGGAGGGGAGGACAAGTTTACAGTGGGGAGGTGGTAGGGAGTTGGCTATAAAAAAGAGAAGAGGGCATCTGTGAGCTATTAGCAGCCAATGCTCACAGTAGCTGGGGACTGGGTACACCACTTCATAAAGGAAAGCTGGGTGGGCATCATCAGCATCTGCTATAGGTCTGAATGATGAGCAGTAGTTGGTCAGGTGACCAGTAGGGGAAGCATATTCCTGGTTAAAGAAACAGTCTATGCAGGCTGGGCACAGTGGCTCATGCCTATAAACCCAGCACCTTGGGAGGCCAAGACAGGAGGAGCGCCTGAGGTCAGGAGTTCAAGACCAGCCTGGCCAACATGGTGAAACCTCATCTCTACTAAAAATACAAAAATTAGCTAGGTGTGGTAGCAAGCGCCTGTAATACCAGCTCCTCGGAAGACTGAGGCAGGAGAATCACTTAAACCCAGGAGGCAGAGGTTGCAGTGAGCAGAGATTGCACCATTGCACTCCAGCCTGGGTGACAAGATCAAGACTTCGACTCAAATAAAGAAAAAAGAAACAGTCTATGAAGGCCAGGCGCGGTGGCTCGCGCCTGTAATCCCAGCACTTTGGGAGGCTGAGGCAGGCGGATCACCTGAAGTCAGGAATTTGTGACCAGCCTGACCAACATGGTGAAACCCCGTCTCTACTAAAAATACAAAAATTAGCTGGGCGTGGTGGCGCGTGCCTGTACTCCCAGCTACTCGGGAGGCTGAGGCAGGAGAACTGCTTGAACCCAGGAGGCGGAGGTTGCGGTGAGCCGAGATCGCGCCATTGCACTCCAGCCTGGGTAACAAGAGCGAAACTCCGTCTCAAAAAAAGAAAGAAAAAAAAATTAGCCAGGCATGGTGGTGCATGCCTATAATCCCAGCTACTTGGGAGGCCGAGGCAGGAGAGTCACTTGAACCCTGGAGGCGGAGGTTGCAATGAGCCGAGATTATGCCACTGCACTCCAACCTGGGAGGCAGAGTGAGACTCCATCTCAGAAAAAGAAAAACAGTTTATGCTGATGGCCAGAACTGAGAGAACTAATTCACGGCAACACAGGTGATGGGGATGGGCAGTGCTGAGAACACATGGGGCTGCAACAGTATCAGGGAGCACGAGGGAAACGGTCTTGTATGACTGTATGAAAAGGAAAATAGTTTTGAAATATTTGCCCAATATTTCTGTATTAATCAATATAGGCTAAGTTATGTCACATAACAAGCAACACCCAAACCTTAGTAGCTTAAAATAAAAAGATTTATTTCTTATTCTTACTACATGTCCTTTCCCAATCAGTTGGGGTCTCTATTGCCCAGTGTTTCATTCAGGGACCCAGTCCGTAAAGGAAATTCGGATGGGCATCAGCAGTGTCTGGGACAGGTCTCCAAACTGAGACCTGAATGATGAGCAGGAACAGCTGACAGAGCAGCTACCGCCTGAAGCATTGCTTCCACAAAGCAGGCAAAAGGGAACGTGGAAGATCACACACTGACTCTTAAAACTTCACTTGAAAGTGATAACAGAAAAAACAAACACATTTTCATTGTTAAAGCATCACTGAAAGTAGAGAGTTGTCCAGGTGCAGAGTTGCTCACGCCTGTAATCCCAGCACTTAGGGAGGAAAAGGCAGCCAGATCACCTGAGGTCAGGAGTTCAAGACAACCCTGGCCAACATGGGGAAACCCTGTCTCTAATAAAAAATACAAAAATTAGCTGACGTGGTGGTGCACACCTGTAGTCTCAGCTATTTGGGAGGCTGAGGCATGAGAATTGCTTGAACCTGGGAGGTGGAGGTTGCAGTGAACTGAGATGATGCCACTGCACTGAAGCCTGGGTGACAGAGCGAGACTCCATCTCAAAAATAAAACACAGAGAGAGAGTTATCACAAAAGTGATAAAATTCTAATTCATCAAGAAGATACATCAATACTAAACATGCATATGCATAAAATAAAATATATATAAAGGTACATTATAAAATTTAAAATACAGGCTGGGCATGGTGGCTCACACCTGTAATCCCAGCACTTTGGGAGGCCAAAGCGGGCAAACCACTTGGGGTCAGGGATTCAAGACCAGCCTGACCAACATGGTGAAAGCCTATCTCTACTAAAAATACAAAAAAAAAAAAAAAAAATTGGCCAGACCTGGCAGCAAGTGCCTATAATCCCAGCTACTCAGGAGGCTGAGGCAGAATTGCTTGAACCCGGAGATGGAGGTTACAGTGAGTTGAGATGGCGCCACTTCACTCCAGCCTGGGCAACAGAGAAAGACTCTGTCTCAAAAAATAAAATTAAAAATTAAAAATATAAAGATGCATCAATTCTAAACATGCAGATGCATAAAATAAATGAAGAAAATTGATACAGTCACCAAAAAACTAGAAAAATCCTCCATCGTACAGCATTAAAAAGCTGATGGAATAGTAAGAAAGAGATAAATAAATCATTGAGAGACAACGTTGGCTTTTTTTTTTTTTTTAAACAGAGTTTCACTCTGTCACTCCGGCTGGAGTGCATTGGCATGAACACAGCTCACTGCAGCCTCAACCTCCTGGGTTCAAGCAATTCTCCTGCCTCAGCCTCCCCAGTAGCTGGGACCACAGATGCAGGCTAATTGAAAATTTTATAGAAACTTGGTCTCACTATGTTGCCCAGGCCGGTCTCAAATTTCTGGGCTCGGGTGATCCTCCTGCCTCAATCTCATAAAATGCTGGGATTACCGGCATGACCCACCACACCCTGCCACTTTTGCATTTTATCATCCACAGTAAACTAAGTATAAAACTAAAAACTCTGTTTGGAAGGGTTTCCCAAAGTCGGGAAGTCTAATAGGAGGCTGATCCACATTAGGCTGAGTGACTATACCCAGGGGATGCACTCATCAGGGTAGGAAGCAAACCCCATGAATTCCCCTCAGAGGAACCACTCTGAAATCTCAGGGAGCGTAGGGACAAGTTCCTTGATGCTGAGCAAGGCAGGAATAACTAACAACCCATCCCTGATAGGTTGTGAAGCACAAGCTAGCCCTAGTGTCGATTTATGTTCCAAATCTGTGTCACAGGATTAGTCCAATAAACTTAAGGTGATTAATTAGAGCATTATACAAAAGTAATATTGCCACTGTATGTCTGACAGAAGCAAACTCAAAATCATCTTTGGAATACAGGCATGGGCCATGACACCTGGCTAAGTTTTGTATTTTTAGTAGAAATGGGGTTTCATCATGTTGGCCAGGCTGGTCTCGAACTCCTGGCCTCGAATGATCTGCCCATCTTGGCCTCCCAAAATGCTGGGATTACAGGCGTGAGCCACCGTGCCTGGCCAGTATCAGGCAAAATGTCTAATGTAAAAAGAGATACAGAAGATCTTTTCATGACAATTTTTAATTCACCAGTAAGACATAAATAGTTTATATTTGTGGGGCTGGTGGCTCACGCCTATAATCCCAGCACTTTGGGAGGTCGAGGTGGGTGGATCATG